GCGAGAAGAAAAGTTTAAATAAAAGTGGAAGTTAAAATCTATATTTTTAGATGAATAATTGATCAACTGATTAAGAAATACCTTATTTTTATAATTGTTTCACATTTAATGGCACAAAAATTCATATTATTGGCTACTTTTTCAAGAAATTTTATATTAAGTCTATTTATTTCTGTAATTATGGCAGGATTGGTCCTCCATAGTTTAATTGTAGCAAAGGTTTAAATGTTCAGATTTTCTAATCAGGAATGATTGGTGCTTAGACTACACGTGCTACGGGTTTGTTTTTACATCCTGCAGACTGGTACCCTCACTGAGGACGGCCTCGACCTTTGGGGAATCCAGAGAGCCGATAATGGCAGGTAGGGAAACACTTGTTTTATCTCATGCTTTTCCAGAAAATTCACAGAAAGTCACTGCCGGTCCAGAAGGGAACTTTGGGAAAAGCAGTTAGCTCTTAATAAGGTTGAACTCATCTATCTTCTGTCTACACCACAGCTTTGTTTCAGCGGAGTCGGGCATGGCGGAGGAGCGTCTGATGGACACGGCATTTGTTGCCTGCATGGCAACGTGTCACTCACTGACCAAAATAGAAGGAGAGCTCTCTGGAGACCCTTTAGATCTCAAGATGTTTGCTGCTACAGGCTGGGTGAGGAAATGTTCGGATAAATCTGGTTTTAGTCTAACCAGGACTACTGGGGATGTTTCCCCAAGAATTTCCCATCTTGCATTTTTATTTTTTATTTTTTGCTTTAGATATTAGAAGAGTCTACAGAGGAAGAAACGGCTCTCCACGACCCGCTGATACCCACGGTTGTTCGGCCTCCAAAGCAAACCGTCTCTGAAAGAAACCAGAACCGTTTAGAAGCCCAGAACACGGTAAAGTAGGCAGCGTATGCACGCTGTACATGAGTTAAAGACAAGATATTCTATTTATATTCCAGCATATGGTACCCAGTAAAAATATAACCCCCCCGGGGGGTTTACAGATGGACCAACAAATAGTGGTGCATCATTTTCTAGTGCAAAGAAAACCATACAGGGCTTTTGCATGTCAAAAATAAATATGAAAAGTGTGGCATGCATTTGTTGTCAGCCCCTTATCACTTTGAGACCCCTGAATAAATCATATTGTTTTATTTTTTTCAACAATGGATAATGGATAGCATCCAATGATAGCATGCGTTGATAGCATATGACTATAGTATGCCTTGATATTATGCAGTTATAGCATTTTCATGCATTGATAGCATACGATTATAGCATACAATGATAGCATGCGATGATAGCATGTTATGATAGCATATGATGATAGCATGCCTTGATAGCATATGACTATAGTATGCCTTGATATTATGCGGTTAAAGCATTTTCATGCATTGATAGCATACGATTATAGCATACAATGACAGCATGTGATGATAGCATGCAATGATAGCATGTGATGATAGCATGTGTTAATAGCATGCAATGATAGATGGCGTTCATAGCATTAGATGATAACATCCGATATTAGCATAAATGTATAGCATACCTTGATAGCATGCGACAATAGCATGCATTGATAGCATGCATTGATAGCATACATTGATAGCATGTGATGATAGCATGCATTGATAGCATGTGATGATAGCATGCATTGATAGCATGTGATGATAGCATGTGTTAATAGCATGCAATGATAGATGGCGTTCATAGCATTAGATGATAACATCCGATATTAGCATAAATTTATAGCATACCTTGATAGCATGTGACAATAGCATGCATTGATAGCATGCGATAATAGCATACATTGATAGCATGTGATGATAGCATGCATTGATAGCATGCGATGATAGATGCCGTTCATAGCATTAGATGATAGCATGCGATATTAGCATAAATTTATAGCATACCATTATAGCATACGATGATAGCATGCATTGATAGCATGCAATGATAGCATGTGTTAATAGCATGCAATGATAGATAGCGTTCATAGCATTAGATGATAGCATGTGATATTAGCATAAATTTATAGCATACCTTGATAGCATGCGATGATAACATACATTGATAGCATGTGATGATAGCATGCATTGACAGCATGCAATGATAGATGGCGTTCATAGCATTAGATGATAGCATGCGATATTAGCATAAATTTATAGCATACCTTGATACAATGCGATGATAGCATACATTGATAGCATATGATGATAGCATGCATTGATAGCATGCGATGATAGATGCCGTTCATAGCATTAGATGATAGCATGCGATATTAGCATACATTTATAGCATACCTTGATAGCATGCGATGATAACATACATTGATAGCATGTGATGATAGCATGTGTTAATAGCATGCAATGATAGATAGCGTTCATAGCATTAGATGATAGCATGTGATATTAGCATAAATTTATAGGATACCTTGATAGCATGCGATGATAGCATGCATTGACAGCATGCAATGATAGATAGCGTTCATAGCATTAGATGATAGCATGTGATATTAGCATAAATTTATAGGATACCTTGATAGCATGTGATGATAGCATGCGATATTAGCATAAATTTATAGCATACCTTGATAGCATGCGATGATAGCATACATTGATAGCATGTGATGATAGCATACATTGATAGCATGCGATGATAGATGCCGTTCATAGCATTAGATGATAGCATGCGATATTAGCATAAATTTATAGCATACCTTGATAGCATGCGATGATAGCATACATTGATAGCATGTGATGATAGATGCCATTCATAGCATTAGATGATAGCATGCGATATTAGCATAAATTTATAGCATACCTTGATAGCATGCGATGATAGCATACATTGATAGCATGTGATGATAGATGCCATTCATAGC